AGTTTTGATAAGAAACTGAATCTAATTAGTCCTGAAGTTGTGATAAGAAACTGGATCTAATTAGTCCTGAAGTTTGATAAGAAACTGGATCAAATTAGACTTGAAGTTTTGATAAGAAACTGGATCTAATTAGTCTTGAAGTCTGATAAAAAACTGGTTTAAATTTGACTTGAAGTTGTGATAAGAAACTGGTTTAAATTTGACTTGAAGTTGTGATAAGAAGCTGAAATAAATTGAAGTTGCAAGTAGACACCGTTTTAATACCTCAAAGAAAATAATTAATATTTAAATTTTCCTTCGCTGTATGTAAAGAAGAGACATATTACCGTGTTGCTAGTTGTCTTGAGGCAGAGAAAACTCTTATTATGGTGACATATACAGAGCCGTGTTACGCTAAATAGTACAAAACAAACTGGTATGTTGCGAGAACAGAACAAATTTTATTTCAAGTTATTTTACATCAAATTCGTTTTATTTATTGTGTGTCTAGCGTATAACGACTTATATTTTCTTGACTAGGACCTAATAAGATTATTTTAGTATAGTTTCTGTTTTAAAAGGATGGAGAAGTCCCTTGTTTGCTAAATTTAAGAAGACAGTAAATGTCTAAAGGATATATTAATTTTTCTTCACTGTCCATCTTCTGGAACATATTGTTTGTTTATTTTGTGTTCAATTTTCTAAATTCTAAACGTGCTTCATATATTTCTTGTGTAAAGTTAATTCACGGCATCGACTTCAAACCGATAACGATAGTGTATTGATTTACAAGTGCTAACTAACATGGTGGAAACACAAAACGAGTCTTATATCGAAATATAGGAAATGACGTACTTGTGCGTCAGTAAACGGATAACGTAGTAAAGAAGTTTTTATCTTGACTTACGAACTAAACAAGTAGAGTATAATCAAGTAGTAATTTCTGCCGATTGAAAGATGTAGTTCCAACAACGACTCGAACGTAAGTTGAACACCAAATCATAACTAATAACAATCTTTCTAAAGATGTAAGACAAACAAGATACAGGTAACATATTCAACCTGTACTATCTCCAAACCGGCAGGTAAATAGGGCTGTTCGGTTCTCACCGGAAGTATCAAAACCCGATATTTAGTGTTATGAGCACTGACTTACCGCTAAACCACCGGAGGGATGTTAGATTGGCTTTACATCCGGAGTGTTTCCAGACTTGTGTGAGTGAATAATCCAAACACGTGTGGTTTAAAATCCGGAGTGTTTCAAGACATGTGTGAGTGAATAATCTTAATACGTGTGGTTTAAAATCCGGAGTGTTTCAAAACATGTGTGAGTGAATAATCTAAATACGTGTGGTTTAAAATCCGGAGTGTTTTCAGACTTGTGTGAGTGAATAATCTAAATACGTGTGGTTTAAAATCCGGAGTGTTTCCAGACTTGTGTGAGTGAATAATCTAAATACGTGTGGTTTAAAATCCGGAGTGTTTCCAGACTTGTGTGAGTGAATAATCTAAATACGTGTGGTTTAAAATCCGGAGTGTTTTCAGACTTGTATGAGTGAATAATCCAAACACGTGTGGTTTAAAATCCGGAGTGTTTCAAGACTTGTGTGAGTGAATAATCCAAACACGTGTGGTTTAAAATCCAGAGTGTTTCAAGACTTGTGTGAGTGAATAATCCAAACACGTGTGGTTAAACCCGGAGTGTTTCAAGACTTGTGTGAGTGAATAATCCAAACACGTGTGGTTTAAAACCCAGAGTGTTTTCAGACTTGTGTGAGTGAATATTTTAAACACTTGTGACCTGCGGAGGGAAGAGTCTATGACTTAAAGTTCGTGTTGTTTCCAATGGCTACTTACTGTTTGGATGGAGATTCCGTTAATTACATGAACCTGCGTCTCATCAACCTTCATCTTGGATGTAGTTGAATTATTTATTATTTTCCCTTTACAAACTATAATATTCAAATGAATAAAATATAATACTGTTTCGATTAAAACAAACAATAATGCTGATAAGATGTTTCCGTGGTAACAATCACACTGTAAGAAATGTCCATAGTGTTCCAAAAACCTCCGAAAACGAAGCATGGCATCGAAATGTCCCCACATTCGAGTCCTTTCTATTCCCCTTTCTTATAAGCCGATTGCCAGACGTCAACAAGACAGACGGAAGAATGGAACCTGTAGAACAACATGAGGGGGAGGGTAGCGTGCTCCACAAACATCCACTGGATCCCATAATGGCGTTCGGGTGCTAGGAAGGACTCGATGCTCTTGTGCTGGAAGGTGTTCACGATCCACAGGGCCACATTCAGGATGATCAAAAAAGTTATGACTTCCCTTCCGGGCTTTCTGAATTGGAGTTCACTTTTGTTGCTGCAACGGCGCAATCCGTCGCTAATGAAAACTGTCTGAAAGATAACTTGAATAATTTCAAGCACGTTCAGAATCACCCTGACGTAGTTAGTGTCTTGTAGCTCCGCCCATACCGTCAAAATTCCATTAATGAAGAAAAATGGCAAAGTGAAGAACATGAGGAAGTCGTCAAGAAACGTTACTGAGTAGACGTTGACGTCCAACTTGGCTATTTGACGCCAGGCGAGCGACACAGAAATAAGACCCAAAACAAGTAAGCTCATCTCCTGGACCACTTGGAGCTCCACTCCAGTTTCAACATACTTATCACTGTTCATTGCAACAAAGAAGACGATTAATGTTACTATGGTGACAAACAAGAGAAACAGCCCAACGAAAAGCCCTCTGTTTGCCGAATGACAGTCTACATTGAGAACGAGGTTACTTTCAAATCTAACATCGTCATCTTTTTTCCGTATAAGATGCTGTGCCATGGCGTGTTTGTGGTCTTTGCCAATGTTCCGCCACATACCGAACCAGACGCCCGCTAGAAGCAGGTTATACTCTATGGTGAAGGGATATAGATACCGAACTGCACGGACTAAGTAGGGCGATAACAGGAAATATTTCCTCACGCATTCCTTGCTTGGACTACCTAATGAAAGAAAAAATTTATAAGAGTAAGGTAATGTCGAGAAAATAATCTTTTCAGAAAATATTTAACCCAAAAGTCTCAAAAAGCAAATATTTTAAACACATGAACTGTCGTCTGAGAGTATTGGTTCGAATTTTTTGGAAACCAAAATAATAACATCAGAAGAATACATATCATACGAAAGTTGAACAAGGACCTAAAGAAACAAAAGGTCCATAAAAAGAACTGAAACATCAGTTGTCTTACGAAACGTTTCGAATATCTTTAGCCTTTTCTTCACCCCAAGAAGGTTAACTTCAACATTTTACTGAAAGCTAAGACTATTTCTAGCTTTGTAAGACTATGAAGTAAGAAATTTTTAGAATCTTTTGAAAAATGTACCAGTAACATTCTAAAATGGCCCACCTCAGATTCAAATTTTGATCAGTAATTGGTCAACTCATGCCTTTGATGGAACCGGACCTCTGAGTCAGAATTTTTATTATCTCCTAAATTACAGAACGATTTCTGAATTAGTATCTTTATTATCTTCTGAATTACAGACGACATATGGATCAATATCTATTATATCGTGAATTACAGAACACTAACGGATCAATATGTATTATATCCTGAATTACAGACCATTATTTGAGGTTAACATCTATTATATCCTGAATTACAGACCATTATTTGAGGTTAACATCTGTTATATCCTGAATTACAGACAATTATTTGAGGTTAACATCTATTATATCCTGAATTACAGACCATTATTTGAGGTTAACATCTGTTATATCCTGAATTACAGACCATTATTTGAGGTTAACATCTATTATATCCTGAATTACAGACCATTATTTGAGGTTAACATCTGTTATATCCTGAATTACAGACAATTATTGAGGTTAACATCTATTATATCCTGAATTACAGACCATTATTTGAGGTTAACATCTATTATATCCTGAATTACAGACCATTATTTGAGGTTAACATCTATTATATCCTGAATTACAGACTATTATTT